AGAGCTTGGCTGGGACTCACATCTGGGCCTGGGAGGGAGGGGCTGTGTGGGACAGCGCTTTTTTTTTAATTTCTAAAAATAAGAGTACAGACAGAACCCCTGCGCACACACGGTGTGAAGGTGTGAACACGCCTCCCCCCTCCCTCTAATCGCCTGAAGCCGCCGTGACCTCTGGCAGTGATGCCTCCCCCGGCTCAGTCCACTCTCAGCCCCAGGCCTGGGCCTGCCAGCAGCTCTGAATGGCGTCTGTGTTCCTCCCGGCCCGGCCGCTGTCATCACAGGGCCCTGGGAGACCGAGGGGGCGGGCATGGAGGAGGGGGGTGTTTACTCTGCAGAGGACAGGCCCGTGCGGTGTCTGCTGAGTCCCCACACACTCGGGACATCCCTCTGCCCTCCCCCACCCCCACCCCCCGCCCCCACCACTGAGCACCGGGCCTGCCAGGCCCTTCCCCTCTCAGCTGAAAGCGGAAAGCCTCCTGACGGCCGTGAGGACCTGGGCCCGTGTCTCCTGACGGCGGTGAGGACCTGGGCCCGTGTCTCCTCCTGACGGCGGAGAGGACCTGGGCCCGTGTCTCCTGACGGCCGTGAGGACCTGGGCCCGTGTCTCCTCCTGACGGCAGTGAGGACCTGGCCCGTGTCTCCTCCTGACGGCTGTGAGGACCTGGCCCGTGTCTCCTCCTGACGGCTGTGAGGACCTGGGCCCGTGTTTTCTGACCGCCGTGAGGACCTGGGCCCGTGTCTCCTGACGGCGGTGAGGACCTGGGCCCGTGTCTCCTCCTGACGGCGGTGAGGACCTGGCCCCGTGTCTCCTCCTACATGGAGCCCCTGAGGGAGAAGCCCTGGCTCGGCCTCCTGGGAATGACAGCAGCCGGAGCCGCGGGGGGCTCGTCCGGAAACCGGCTGGGCCTTCGAGAGGCCCCTTCCTGGAGCTGGAAGCGGGGCCCGTCTGCCGGACCACGGGAAGGGGCAGCAGCAGGGGTGAGCGAGAGGGGACCCCCGAGGAACCCCGAAGCTGCACTGGAGTCTAGAGGATGCGGTCTCCCCTAACTCCTCCCGCAACCTCCCTGTTCCCTTCCAGAGGTCACAGCACCATCGCACCCCCGGCCCCCGAGATTCCTTCTCCCGCGGGGCACGGCCGCTCCAGGGCCGGCCGGTCTACGGCTCACAGGCTGTGGTTTTCCCGTCCTCTCACCTCCTCAGCCTCCACCGCCCGCAGCGCCCCCCCTGCACCCGCCAACAGCCCCGCTTGGTGGGGACACGCATTGCGCTTCCTGCATCCCCGGCTCTCGCTCGCTAATAGTTTATTCGGGACTTTTGACCTTTTCAATATGAAATTGGTTTTCCGGCATTTCCTGCTTAAAGCACTTAGAGGCTTCTCAGTGCACTTAGAGGAGAATGGGAACTCCTGACCCCGAGCCTCAGCCCCACCCCACCCCCCACCTCAGTCCTCGCCCCTGGGAGCTTCTGGAGACACGCACTGCCCCCCGGGGATCTGGAGAAGCCACAGAGAAAGCAGGCGGCCCCTCCCTCGAGCTCTTCTCCGTTGTCCCTGCAGCTCCTGCCCTTGGGCTCCAGGTCCCACGAAGGCAGTGACCTCACACCCGACACAGGACCCATCACCTCGGATCCATGACGGGACGAGGCTCAGGGCCGGGCCGTGCCATGGGCTTCTCCAGGGACGGTTCAGGGGCCGGTTCTGCTGCCCCTGATTCCACAGCCTCCTGACTCAGTCCCTGTCCACTTCCGAAGGAATCATTTCACACCCGTGACTCTACATCGGCCTCCCGCATCCTCCCTCTCCATCACGACTCACTTCCCCCTCACCTCCCAGCCCGGGCACCCACACTCTGCCTCCTGCCCTGGAAGCATGCACCCTGACCCGGAACCAGATCGCGACCTCCTGGTTCACAGGCTGATGCTCCTCCGCTGAGCCACGCCGGCCGGGCGGACTTTTCAATCACAATCAGCATCCTCCCGTCCCTCTGCCCCTCCACCCACCCCTGATGGGCACCTCTCGGCGCTGTGCGTCGCCGAGGGTCTTTGCTGAGAGCTTCCTGCCGGGCCTCTCGGGCCAGAGGCTGGGAGCATGTCAGCATGGGGGAGGGCAGTGACCTTGGACACCTGGAGGAGTGACCTTGAACACCCAGAGCCCTCAGCCTCCGCTTCCTCCTCGCTGGCGAGAGGCTGGACATCCGGGCTCCCTACGGCTCCTCTTGCGTCTCCCGCTCTGGCACTCTGACTCATCGTCCTCACTCAGAGGCAGAGAGCAGGTGCCCAGACGACAGGGCGATGCTCTGGGACGCGAGGCCGCAGACCGCAGCCCGGGGGCCCCAGCCCAGGAGCACTTTGCCGTCAGAAGCCCCAGCTGGCCGGGCAGGAGGCCGCTGATGGCTGAAAGCGGACACACCCTAATCCACCAGATTCCTTTCCCGCCCGAGCAGAGCCGGTCCCCAGGGCCGGCTTCCCCCACGCCTGGCTCTGCTTCCCGGTCAGCAGCCCGGCCGGCAGGCTTCCAGCTGTGGACAGAGGCAAGGCCGAGGGGCTCCCCTGCCCACTGGAGTGAAGGTGAGGAGCGAGGAAGGAGGGAGCGCAGGGCTGAGCGGGGGCAGGGACGCCCTGCTGACGGCTGTGTGGAAAGTCTCAGGCTGATTCACAACACAGAGGGCCTCGCTGGCTGCAGACGCTGGTGGACCCTGTCTCCCCTGACCAGACGTTTGCACAAATTTCCAAACCTCCCTGAGCCTCAGACCTCAATTTATCTAAAAAAAAAAAAAAAGTGTCTGTAGAACAGGAATTTACAGTAACGTCTACTACTGAGAGGCCATGAGCATTGCGTGAGATGAAGCAGTTATTGTAGAAACCCAGCATCGAGCTAGTTCTTAACATGCAGAGCTGTCCCAGGATCTCAACACACAGCACAGGCAGGAGCGAGAGCTGGAAGGACGCCCTCTGTCTGACGGGCGCGGGGAAAGGCCCAGAGAGGCTGAGCCCCGTGTCCAGGGCTGCACAGCTAGTTAGCAGCACAGCATGTCTCCTGAGGGTCCGTCCTGGGCAGACCCCGAGCCCGGCTTCCTGCGGAGACGGAGGGACGGACGGGGAGCCCTGCTGCCTCCGTCGCTGCCCCGGGACACGGACGACCCACCAAGGAGAAAAGGCAAGTGCGGACGTGACCTCACGGCACTTGGCACCCCCTGTGGCACCCCCTGAAAACGGGGGGGAGGGGAGAGCTACTGTGTAACAGTACGAGTGGGGGGCAGAGCTTCCCACTCAGCCCCTCAGAGCCCCAGGTTAACAGTGATGCAATGACAAACACACACACACACACACAGACATCGTGGGGCAGGCGCATCACAGTCAGGCCCAGCGCTGCGAGCTTCCCGTCTTTCCCGCCACTTCCTGGCCCCTTTTACAGACGAGGAAACCGAGGCTCAGCGGCAGCAGTGAGTCCTGTCTGGGGTCACACTAGGGACGCCCAGGAGGGCTGCACGCAGGTCCACATGCTTAGCCTCCTCCAGGGAGCAGCCTCGGGCCAAGAACACAGCCCCTCAGGGCCCGCTCCTCCCCCTCCTCCCTCCTCCCTCCTCCTCACTCCTCCAGGCCAGAGCACAGAAGCCGCCCCGAGGGAGGGGCAGGCTGCAGCCACCGCCACCCCCGGGCCAGTGGGGCACATTCCGCTGTCACACCGGGACCATCCTTTGATCTGCCTCACACCCACTCCAGACGGTTTCCCAGCCGCTTCCCTGACGCAGGGACACTGTGTGCTCGGCTCAGAGGTCCCGCCACCCTGAGGGCAGGGCCAGCCTCCCTGCCCAGCCCTCTGCCATCCTGGGGAGCCGGCTGGCACAGAGATGGAGAGCTCAAAGCCCTTCGGTGCCCACCGGTGGGGCTCTGGGGCACACGCCTGCCTCTCCCCTGAGCAGCGGTCCCTGCCCCACCTCCTGGGCTGGGGAGGCAGGCAGAGAGCTACATTTCGGTGCTGGGTGTGAGGGGTCGGGGAGCCAGGGGTCAGGGGACCCAGGCTCACTCCCCACGGCAGCAGGACCCCCTGGGGGTCGGTTTTCCCTTTACCAGCTCCCCTGGCGATTCCCGATAGGATCATGGTGAGAACGGGGGAGATGCCGCATGAAAAAACGCTCTGAAAAGTCCCACGACTGTAACGCAAGCAGGCGGTACGCGGGCGGCCGGGCTGCCTGGGCAGACGGCCAAGTGAGGCCAGAGGCCCCGCGCCCCAGATGGGAAGCAGGTGCCAGCGGCGGCCAGAGCTGACCCATGGGACTGAGAGGGGCAAGGGGCGTCCCCACAGCCCGGCTGGCAGGGTGCCCGCGCTCCCCTGGCACTGGGCGGCCCAGGCATTGCCCGGTGATAGGACCGGGGCCTGGAAGTCCTGGGCACGGAGCCCTATCGGACTCGGCACCCCCGTGAGCACGGCCACCAGCAGGCCACCCCCCCGGGGCTGCTGGACCGGACACGTGGGCCCCTCTGCGGTGACCACAGAGACCTGCTGGGTTTGTGACGGAACAGGGACATCCAGAGAAGGGGCCTGTTTCTCCCTCCTCCTGCCGGCAGCCGAGATCTCTGGGCAGAGGCTACCAGGGCACCGGAGGGTGGAGCCAGGGCACATGGAGGAGTGCCTCCGGGAAGGCTGCCCTGCCCGGCTCCTGGCGGGAACCACCCCAGCAGCCTGTTCCTCTTATGCCCCCTGGGACCAGTGGGCTTAGCTCGTTTCCCCAGCGCTCACCTAGACTGTCCTGGTGGCCCCTCCAAACCCTACCCAGCAGGCTGGGCAGCTGGCCGGGCCCTGAGAACAGCAGCAGCTTGGCACGGGGCTCCTAGGCACTGCCCAGCCCCGTCCTCCAGCCACCAGATCCTCCTGCTTCCACCACAGCTCGGCCCAGCACCCCAAGCGGAGGGCAGAGGCGCCTGGGGACCGGACACCTGCCCCGGAGGACTCCATGTCCCCCGTCTGTCCCCTCCAGACGGCCCTCCGCGCCAGGACTCACCGCAGCGGGATCTTGACGCGCAGGTAGCGGTCCACGGCGATGGCCAGCAGGGCCAGGATGGAGCTCTGCGTGAGGATGAGCACGGGGCAGGCGACCATGAGGCAGGTGTAGAAGGAGGTCTGCGGCCCGATGTTGATGAGGATGGCGAGCGGGATGACCAGCGCGCCCACGGCCACGTCAGCCACCGCCAGCGAGGCGATGAAGTAGAAGGTGGCGTCCCGCAGCGCCTGGTTCACCCGCACGGCCCAGATCACCAGCACGTTCCCCGGCACGGACACCAGGGCGATGAGCACCTCGATGCTGATGTAGGCGGCCTGGAAGGCCGAGACGGGCGGCATGGCGGGCGGCGGCCGGGCACATCGGCGGGGGGCACCTGCGGTCGGGAGGCCGGGGTGGGGAGGCTGTGGGCGGGGGACCCAGGGGACGGGGCCCCGGGAGTCCCTCCCCTTGGAGCTGTGCCCGCTGGGTGCCCGCCGGGGCTGGTGAGACCCCTGGCCCTCTCTCTGCCTAGCCTCTGTGCCTCCCCAAAACACCCCGGGGCCTCATTCACCCCTCCCGCCCGCTGCACACGCCCCACCAGGTCCCCACGCCCGGCTTTGCCCGCCGATGCCCCAGACCAGGGTGCCAGGAGCTCACCAGCCTGCCTGCCGGCCGCCAGGGGGCCCCGGAGGTGGTGCCCGAAGTCGGGGGCACCTGCTGTGGCCCAGAGCGGGGGAGCCGGGCGCGCGGGGCTGGGCTGGGCTCCGAGCACCACGCCGGCCGCTCATGTCCTCGCTCCCTCCGCTGCAGCGAGCGCCGCCGGCCAGCCTCGCCAGCATCACATGGTGCCGAGGCTCTGCCCGGCCGCTTTTAAAGAGGCAGCGCCCTGCCCTCACCTGGGACAACGGGGTCTGGGGTCTGAATCTGTCCTGGCGGGGCAGGGGGCCCTTTCCCCGCGAGCGCCCGCCCGCCTGCAACGGGACGTGTGCACCGGCTCCCGGCGGCGCCCTGGCCCCGCTCCAGCTCTGCAGACCGCGCCCGCCCACCCACCTCCAGGAAGGGGGCTCCCTGGTCGCCCGCTTCACCCGCTCCCTCTCCCGCACCCGCCGAGCCCGATGGAGGCAGCACAGACCTGCCCTGGTCCCCGAAGCCGGCAGCCCTTAGCCACCTGAGCCGTCCGAGCCCCCCAGCCAGGTTCTCAGCCTCCGCCAGCGTGGGCGCCCGAACCCCGGCCAGCCCTCCAGGTCCAGCCCAGGTCCAGGTCCAGCCCAGGTCCAGCCCAGGTCCAGGTCCAGCCCAGGTCCAGGCTGGGGTGCAGTGGTGCAGACTTGGCTCAGGCGCCGGGCACGGGGCTGAGCGACAGGAGAGCTCCGCAGACCAAACTGGAGGGGCGGGGGCGGCGGCACCCCGGGGCCCCTCCCTCCTCGCCCTCCCCTTCCTCCCTCACCCCCTCCGCTCCACAAAGGAAGTGATTCTGGGTGAGAAACGCCGGGAAAACGTGAGCTGTCCCTGCGCCGACCCCACCCTCCCCGCCTCCAGCGTCCGCTCCCCAGGATGCGCCCCTACACCAGCGGCTCAGCACCCACATCCACCTCACCGGCCGCCCCTCCCGGTCCTCAGCTCTGAGACCTGCTCCCCGAGCCAGCCTCCGTTCCCATCCCCCCCACCCCCATCCTCCCTCTGCACCTCCTCCTGAGCCCTTACACCCTTTCTCGGTCTCTCAGCAAATTCCCTTTACAGACCTCAGGGTGCCCAGGCTCAGGGAGCCACCTGCTCCCCCGGCCACCTCCATCACCCCCCTCCTGCCCCTCCTGACCCCTCTCCCGCTCTGCACAGCCCAACGGGTGGGAGCCCAGCCCGGAAGCAAGCTCCGCCTTCCCCACCTGGGTCCCCTCTGGCTGCCTCCTGCTCAGGGTCAGGCCAGGTGGCCCACGCTGTCCACTGAGGACTCCGACCCCCCAGCCCAGCGCTGACCCCCATGCAGGACAGAGATCCCCCCCTGAAGCCTTGGGGGCGCTGGGGGTGGGGGGCATCTTCCAGTTCTGCCTCAGACACCAGACATCGTAGTCTGTGAACTTCCCTGGAGCCTCATTGGGGAATCTGGGAAGTGTAATTCCTCCCCAGGCTACACAGACGCCCGGAGCACTCCCAGGGGCTCCTGTTCCAGGCTCCTCACTCCCCTTTGGCAGCGAGAGCCTTTGCCGCCCCCCCCCCCCCCCCCCCCCCGCCCCACAGGCTCTCACCTGGCACAGCCTGCCCCAGGCCCCAGGCCCCAGGCCCCAGGCCCCAGGCGCCTGCCACAGTTAAAGACTCAGCCTTGCCCTAGCGGTGTTGCTCAGTGGAAAGAGCGTCAGCCTGCAGACCAAAGGGTCCTGGGTTCGATTCTGGTCAGGGGCACGTACCTCTGTTGCAGGCTCCTCCCTGGCCCAGGCCCTGGTCCAGACGCCTGCAGGAGGCAACCACCCATGTATTTCTCTCACATCCACGTTTCTCTTCGCCTTTCCCTCTCTCTTCCACTCTCTCTAAAAATCAGTGGAATAATAACATTGGGTGAGGATTAAAAAATAAAAATAAAATAAAATACTTAAAAAAAACGATGGCTTCCCTCGTCACCTGCAGCTCTTCATCAGGCATCGCCTCCCGTCCGCGCCCCCCCCCCCCCGCCCCGGCCTCGCCTGGGGCGCCAGCCATGGACCTGGGCTTCTCTGACCCTGGAGGCAGCCTCTGGCGGATCCACCACACCACCTGGAGGGCCTGGTCGCTCACCATGGCATGGACTCAGCAGAGCTCAGGCCCTGGCATGGCCCAGTTCGTCCTCACCCTCCTGGACAGACCCTCCCACACCAAGGGCACAGGGCAGAGGGGCAATCAAGGCCAGGAGAAATGGGACTTCCTCTGCCCCTTCTCCTTCCTCCTTCCTGCTTCCTGCACATCCACTCCCCTTCCTGCTTCCTGTCCATCCAGCTCCTCCTGCTCCTTAATAAAAAGAAATGTGCTCCCAGCTTCTGCACGTGCTGAGGGGAGAGGAGGCCATGGATACAGGGGGGGGGGGGGGTCCCCAGATTCGATTCAGAGCACACGGCCACGTTTTCCTGGGCTATAGCTTCTATGGCATAAAGTTCACCCATTTAAAGGGTGCGACTCGATGGCTTTTAGTACAGTCATTGAATTGTGCAACTATCACTCCAATTTAATTTAGGGCATTTTCATCTCCCTGAAACCTTCCAGCTGTTACCACTTCTTTCCCACCCTGCCCGTTCCCTCTCAGACGCTGGAAACCATGCGTTCGGTCTCAAAGGATTTGCCTGTTCTGATGTTTCTCGTACGTGAAGCTATGGGACCGTGCAGGATGGCAACCACTGAAGAATGAAGTCTCTCCACACTCTGCTGTTCAGAGCTCTGCACCCTCACGTTGTGGCTGCTGAAGTGCCGTTTTGTACCCATTTCTCAGAGCAGGAAACTGAGACTCAGGGCGGGATGTGGGTGTGCTGAGCGTTGGGATGCATCCAGAGCCAGGAGCAGCGGCCCTGTGCGGGCGGTGCCTGGGGCTTGGGGTCCCCCTGCTGGCCAGAGGGAAGCCCGGACAGACGTGGGGCAAGGAGGCTGCTGCTCCCTGCCCGCTGGGTGCTGGTGGGAGGAACCAAGTCCCTGTACAGCTTTAGGCAGAGAGCCACTGAGCCCCACATCAGAGGGTCTGGAGCTGAAGGCCCCCTAGGAATGCCCAGCAGATATCTCCACCGAAGATTGGGGAGACGGTCCTGCCCCCCAAGCCAAGGCCAAGTCTCTGAAGCCAGGCCCCGGTGCTGAGATGGCTCCTCCTTGGAGAAATCTCCGAAGAAAAGGGTCTTCAGCTTCCACTGACCTGACTGCCCTCCGCTCTGACTCAGAAAGCCAGGCCCAGAACCAGCTGGGGGACTGCTGGGCATTTCGCTAATTCAGTCCTCTGCAGAGGCTGTAAATTTGGGCTCCGTGTCAAATACTGTCCCTCTGTCCCTTCTCGAGAGTCTGGTAGGGCACCTCGGTTTTCTCGCCTGTGAAACGGGGGCGTGACACTTCTAAAGGGCTGATGGGAGGACGTAGTGCTGGGCTCTGAAGCACTGTGTTCAGTAGACATTGCTTTTCTGCTCTGTCCCTTCCCTTGGAGAAGAGCAGGGAGGGCTCAGGGCACAGGAAAACTGGACAGAAAAGGGAGACGGTACTGCCACTTCTCACTTCCCTGTGCTCCCACCCCTGTCTGCAGGGGGAGGGCGGCAGCTGCCTTTGTCCCCTGCCTGGGCCCTGGCCCAGCCAAAAGCCTGCACAGCTGTTGGAATGGCCCGAATGCCTGGGGGTTAGGGTTAGGCCCAGGACAGCGGGGGTTGGGAGATGGGGGCGCCCCCAAGGAGCATCTCCCCAGTCTCCTTACATCTCGCAGGTCAGCTGCCCCAGCCTGGGGAGTGGGGGGGGGGGCAGGAGGAGTTCCCCCGTGCCCTCCCTGGTCCCCTCTGATGCCTTCTCCCTGAGGCAGAATCCACCCCGCCCCACCCCGTCCACGTGCTGCCAGCTGTCGCCAGCCTGAGCCGGGCACTCCGCCTGCTGCTCGCCCGTGAATCGCCAGCATTCACGCTCCGGGCCCAGCTCCACCTGTTCCCCTCGGACTGAGCGGCGACGGGGCTGTGCGGCCCCATCTGTTGTCCTCCATCCAGCTCTCCTCTCAGCCGAGAGACGACTTCAAGCCCAGCTTCACCTGCAGGAAGGGGGGGGGGGACCGCAGGAGGCTGAGGGAGGGTCTGCGTGGGTCTGTCCTTCCCACCCAGGCCCACCAGCACCTCCCAACACCCTGCTTCCCCAAGGGCGTGTGCGTGGTCCCCGCGCCCCTTTCTACCCGTCATCACTCTGATCCGAGGGCCCTCCGCGTGCAATGTCAACGGAACGACCAGACACAATTTTTTTATTTTTTAATACATTTTATTAATTTCTTACGGAGAGGAAGAGAGAGGGATAGAGAGCTAGAACCATCGATGAGAGAGAACCATCGACCAGCTGCCTCTTGCACACCCCCTACTGGGGATATGCCCACAACCAAGGCCCATGCCCTTGACCAGAACGAAACCTGGGACTCTTCCGTCCGCAGGCCGATGCTCTATCCACTGAGCCACACCAATCAGGGCCCATTGACGCTCCATCCACTGAGCCAAACTGGTTTCAACAGACCCGACGCTTTTTACATTCGTGTTTGCTGTGCAGCGACCTGTGAGCACAGGACAGGGGCCTCCTCAGGAGGAGGAGGCAGGGCCTGGGCGCCCAGGGTGTGCGGCCGGGCGGGCAGCGTGAGAGGATGCCGCCGCCGGGCTCGGCCAGCAGTTATTCCCTCTCGGTT